TTTAGCACCAAGAGTAGTGCATTTTCTTTTTGCTAAAAATCTCATCTTTCTACAGAATTTTATCTATCATTAATTATCTTTTTTTAAGGAGCGGGTAGCTTATGCATCTATAGATTGGCACGATTTCGTTGTGGTACAGACCGTCGACTTCCAACCAGGCGATACAAGTGTGTTTGAATTTTGTGGCTTTTCGAAAATTCTCACGTTAACCAGTAAGAGGATGCCTGACTGACCCGATGCATTGCCAAGATTCGCTTCTGGGTTATTTTTGCGTGACTAGTCCTATTCTTTTGTAGCCAATCTACCTGGCCTGTGTACTCCAAAAGATGTCGGTGCGCGTATATTGCTTGAGGCAAGGAGCGAAGCTCAAAAGCAAACCGCGGAAGCAATGGAAATGGATATGGATGAATCTGATAGCGAAGATGAAGCGGAACAACCTATTCAGAATGAAGTGAGCCTCTTTTTTAAATGCTCGGTCTTTACTTTTAGGACCATAGCAAATTTGACTTAAAATCTTTTAAATTTTCACCGCTTCAAAAAACCTTGGTCGAAAGAAAATTTTCATCACCATGTCCTCAACGAAACGCGTACAACTGATTGCCATGACATAATGTTGCCATTCACATAAGATGAAAAGTGGCTTGGGACTATACAAATATCCAAGTCGAGCTTCAATGCCTGTTTTGTGCCTTATGATTTTCGTGACGAGGTGATATTCAGGCTTAGGAACTAGGGTAATCGATAGTGATAGTCAACCCCTCCCCTTTCAAACAGCGGCCATCTATTCCTTTCCTGATTAGCCGGATTTTGTCATAGCTTTTGTGATTCAGTTGCAATTCATTTTTCTGTCTTCAACTGAAGTGAAGGGACGCTCTTTCCTTATCCGTCATGGTTATTCGGGAAACCTAGTTGATCGGCTGCTTGGCAGAGAAAGTGCATTATGACTTCTGCTTTCTCTCCAAAATCTAACTTGCTCAACTGGGATTTCTCTCCAAAATCTAACTTGTTCAACTGGGATGGGATCCATCAACTAATTTTACCAGACTTGTGGATTTTTCGAACTTTTGGTCTTCGAGTGGAGCTACACTACTTCGAGGCTTCGTTTGGAGGTGCGCATTGATCATGCACTGCAAGTGGTTAATCTTTAGTTGGCCAGCCAGCCTTCCTGGAGGAACACTTTTTTTTGAAGAAACACGAATTTTAAATAAATCAATCATCAGGGCAATAATACACCACCTCTGTAGGTTTTGAATTTTGAAAAAGAGATAAGCGAGTAAAACTCTGAGAACAGTGAAAAACTGAATCTAAAACAACTTACGGGAAGTACCCTGAAAGATAGTTATGTTGCCATCTTCTTGTGACTTATTGCAGCCGTTTCACAGTCAGAAACATACTTATTGCACACTTGACATCAGCGGAATAGTTGATAAATGTTGGTGGGAACTTCCCACTTAATTTTGCAACCCTTGGCTAATGATCAGGCTTGTAATTACAGGCGGAGCCGGAACAACCACCAGCAGCGGCGCCTCCCCCTGAAGAAGCTCCACCACCGCCAGCAGCAGAGTTTGCGACACCTTTGCCGCCTACACGGCAAAAGGATCTTATCGTTAAAGACTACGATCCGAAGAAGGGTCTGTTACTTCAGATCTTATCCGGCCTGAACTGATATTGATAGTTTTCTTTAGCTGCTCATGCTACCAAACGTCCTGCGGATAAGTGGCTCATTTCACCGCTCACTGGAGAGAGAATACCTTCAGACAAATTGGAAGAGCATGTGCGGTTAGTGGCTTTTTCTCCGTGCTGAACATCTGTCTGCTTTTTATGTGTGCAGACCTATTTTGCCATTTCATTTTTAGCTACAATACCGTCGACTCACAATACAAAGAAGATCGAGAGAGGCTTATGGGAGAACGTGGCAATGAAGAACCTGTACTCGCTCCTGGAGCAGAAATCAGTAAAAATCTCGGGCGGTGAGTGAGATCGTGTTATCTATCTCCATTTTCATTAGTTTTCATTCATTTATTGTAGATTTGCTGAGCGTCGTACTGATATCTTCGGTGTTGGAGCCGCTGGAGCCGAGCAAACGGTTATCGGAAGGAAGCTCGGCGAGGAAGAGCCTCAGCCAACCAAGGTATGGTAACGTGTTGTAGTCAAGAGATAATTTTTGGGCATGTTTTCCTGTATTCATTTTACAGAATATTTTTTCGGGAAATGCCCAAAAATATACGTTTCCATAAAAATGATATTGTGCTCACTTTTAATTGCTTCTATTTAGCAACTCATTTGGGACGGTTCTGAAGAGACACGTGAGGCCCATACGTTGGCTGTACAGAGTCAGGTTACAATCGGTGGGTAAATAACTATTGCCTAGAACTGAATGATTTTAGGACAAAGAACTTCTAGTATTGAAAGTCATACTCTTCTCTTGAGTGAAATATATTCCAGACCAACAGATTCACGAAATACATCGTCAACATGGTTTTCTTCCTGATTCAACCAAAGAACGCATCGGAGCACAGCCTGTTGCGCCACCTCCACCGCGCAGTGCCACTGGTTCTAATGCGACTACAGTCGTGAACCGAATGTATCCACCGCCTCCTGCTACAACAGGAATGATGGGAATGCCGCCTGGATACGCACCACCTCCTCCGTCCATGCCTCCGCCAGCGCAACAACCAGCACCGGTCCTAGTTCTCATCGTTATCTAGTGTGTTGACAGAGGGAAATGAAATTGTTTTAGCCTGCTCCGGAAGGACCGCCACCGGCAAAACGTCAAAGGACTGAGGAAGATTTGGAGCCCGAGGCGGAATGGCTCACTAAGGTCAGGCTTTTACAAAGGGAGTTAAGTACAAATGTACGAAGTAGATGCTTCTAATTCATGCTACGTATCTGCACGAGGTTATTTATAGCGAGAAAAATGTTTCTACCGTTTGCAGCTGTCGTACCTCGAATTACAAGTATATTTCTAATGTAATGATCCCAATTTTCCCGTAGGGGTCGAGCTGTTCTTATTGTCTTTTGCGTTTTAGAAGTTCTCCTGTGGCATATTTAAACGGCGGCCAACGTTTCAGGTCAGCGGTATTATCGATTTACGAATTCAGCTTCCAACCAATGCCGAGTTTAACATGGATGGTTCAATTATTGGATTACAAATAGATGTTACATCACAGGTGCAGTCGCGCTTCTTTCCCTTTTGAGGCATTTTTCTTTTTCCAGAGAGCTTTTCCACTTATGCAGTCTATTTCAATGCTTTACGCGCGATGGTAAATGGTTCACTATTACGCGCATTGGGATTAAATCTCGGATCGACACACGCTCAAGCCAATCAGGCTGTCCAACCCTTTGGGGTCGGCTCATTACTATAGCATTCGTCTGGGAGGATAAAAATGACACATACACAATCCCTCTCCCAAATTATTGGGGCCACATGTTCAGTCAAAGCGCCCCTGCGATTGTGAATGGAAGGCAAATAGGCGCATCCTGAATACGTACCAGGAACTATCCTATTTCTTGCAGTCTTAGACTGCTCTTACTGAACTCGCTTTGAAAATCTAAAGTTCAGAGTAAGTGGAATGTAACACCAAACGAAATTGTTTTAGGTAGCCGATCTCAAACAGAGCCTTCAAGACAAACTCAGTATGCCAACAGGAAAGCAGAAACTTGTCTTTGATGTGGGTGATAACTTTGATAATTAATTTAATTTTGATAACATTGAGAGCTTTAGTTTTGATATTCCTATCTGCAAGAGTTTCTTTATGCTATTGAGTGTATTGCAAAAGACGTAGGGAAGAAAGGATTTGAAAGGTTTCGACGCGGAATTGATCACTGTCTTTTCCTCATTTAATTGCGCTCCGGGAAATCAAGTGAACATGTGTTCCCCAAACAAAAAGGGAACTGTTTTGGTTTCACCCCGTTGTTTATACAGAGGAACGTTACTTGCACTTATTTATATTTGTTTTTCTTTAGGGCTTCTTCTTAAAGGATAACTTCTCACTTGCTTACTACAACATGAAAAATCAGTCGTTCGTGATTCTCCAGATCAAAGAAAGAGGTGGAAAGAATAAGTAAACTCATGGTCAACTTGTTGTTTATGCCACTCATGTTACAGCGTTAGCATTATTAGTTAATACCGTTGTGAAGTTATGTGTCTCAAAATAAAAATTTAATCAAAGCCTCACAATTACAAGATCTCTAACACACACGTATACACGTACAGTGAGCTTACAGGTAGTATATCCATATTATTTGGCGTCTTTTCAGCACCAAAGTTGAAGCTTGTTGATACACGTATAGAAAAAGTTGCACTTGGAATAGACATCGCTGATGAAAGAACCTTCGAATCAAGCTACAGTGAAGAGATCACCGCAAAAGGAAGAATTGTTAGAGTAATCCATGGCTGAATAGTACTCGTAAAGTCACTGATAAGACACTCTACTGTTGGTCCCTGAAAAACGTAAAGGTCTTTTAGGCTTACCAAGGGTTTATTAGAAATGACAGTGCTCTCGCTAACTTACCTCATCCTCATCGACAGTTGTATTATAATGGGTCGGTGGTCGTCGATCGAAGTAGGTGACCTTTTCGCAGCCTTCTACTGAAAACATTGAATAGCTACATACATGGCTTTTTTTGTGTGAATTCTAAATGAAGGATGGAACCTACGTATTTGTGGTTGGACAGGGTACTTCCTCCTGGCTCGATAACCGGGGCAGGCACGATCCACTCTTATCACTGTCAGGGTTGTGTGAGGCACTGGGAATACTCGAGCGTACCTGGAAATGATGGAATGTCCTGGAATGGAATGGAGTAGAATGAAATTCTATTCGCAAGCAGGAACGAAACATGGGGACAGTACTGAGATTGGAACGATTTCATGTGCCAAAAGCATAGTTCACGATAAAAATGGTTTCCGAGATTCCCTATACTATGAATCCAAGGCTCCCCTTATACTACACCTGCCGTTATAAGGCCGAAAAACGTCCTTGGTAGGGTACAATAAGGGGCCAGGGATTGTATCGCGTGAATGCCACACCAATAGTGGACGAGTTTCGACGGCTCTGGGGAGGCTGCACTATCTCGGGAGGCTCCCATGTAGGAAAACCAAACAATTTGTCAAAACCCACTGGTGACAGTGAAAGACAGTTTCGGGCAAGTTCGGCTTGATGTAGTCATTTCTTTGTGCAATGGGGAGTTCAATCTCGTCCAAACACCCCTTAGATGCCATTACCGCCAGAGTGATCTCGTACAACTTCCACTTCCACTATTTCTAAAAGGCCTTGTAGTAGGCGGATTTTCTCGCTTTCTTGGCCACCGGTGTACCCCTCTACATCAACTTTTCCGCTTTCCAATCTAAAAAGGGTACCTCAAAATTATTGTGATCTGGGCCTTTGAGGTAGAAAAACGTGCGTTGAAAGCGCTGCTTTTGATCCGTTGTATAGTTAAATAAAAGATTATTTCCACCTTCAGCTCCAAAAAGGGAATCACCAACCTGGCACATTTCATGTCGCTTAGCTGTATTTGACTGGTTATGTTCAGCGTCATTTGGTAGTTAGTGTGACGTAGGAAGCATCTAAAATAGGTCGTATTATCGGTCCTTAGTTTAAATAATAATTAGGTGTCAGTCTCGACTTATGCACGCGCAGGATTCGGTTGGAGC